CCTTTCGGAATTATTTACTTTCCCTTTTTAGAGTCCTTCCCGGGGGAACGATAATTTAGGCCGGCAATTCTTTCTTCTCTCTTCCCCCCCACCCCCACCCCGCACTTCCTAGTTTTCACATGGGTAATTTCAAGAGGCAAATATTTGCTTGTTTGAGCCTACACAACTAATCCGGTAGCCAAAACAAGGCGTGGGGGAAGGCGCGTGGGGAAAAGGTTGCAGGAGGACATTTGCCATCTTGGTTTCAAGGCAGTTGACCGGGGAGTATAATGAAACCTGTTGGGGAGAGGGGCGATACAAGGTTCCGATGGGGATGCCAACCTCCAGGTGGGACCTGGAGAGCTCCCAGAATTACAACTGATTTTCAGACTACAGAGATCCGTTCCTCTGGAGAAAATGGCTTCTTCGGAGGATGGGCTCTATGGCAATCTATTCCGTGGAAGTAACTCCCCTCCCCAAAACTCCGCCTCCCCAAGGCTCCACCCCCAAATCTCCAGGAAATTTCCCAACCTGGAGTTGGCAACTCTAGGGCTGCCATTGAGGCAGGGAGATCCGATCCCTGGTTCTTCTGCTCCTCGTTAGACACTAGAAGGTGAGCTCAGAAAGTTGCTTACAGTCAGAGAAAACATTTAAACTGTTCAGGGTTGGGTCCTCTTTCGCCCGTGCAACCCTGCACAACAGTTAAGGTCTTCTACGCAGTCCCTGTGCTTTCAGAGGTGAAATGGATGAGTATCAGTGACAAGGCCTCACCCGTGGAACTCCCTTCCTCAGTGGCCCACTGGGCGTCTAAGATCTTTTCGGTTCCCTCAGACTTCCAGCTGACTTTGGCTGCATACACTGGTTTTTCCTCTTATTTCCCTGTTTTTCCTTTTCCTTTTTTGCCACATGTCGGTTTTGGTAATTCGATGGGTTTCCCGCCCTTTTGTCATTGATTGTTCGTGGAGGTGTCTGAATCTGAACTGTTGATCTGACACGGAAAGCCGCCTTAGAACCGTTCAGATGTGAGGTGGGGAATAACTATGATGGGCTGTTATCTGTCTGGTCTCGTGAGCTCCTAGAATTACAAGTAATCTTCAGATGACGGAGATCAGTTCCCCTGGAGGAAATGGCTGCTTTGGAGAGCGGACTCTATGGTTTTATACCCAAAGGAACTGGTTGGCCATTCTGTGTGAGACAGGATGCCGGACTAGATGGACCACTGGTCTAATCCAGCAGGACTCTTCTGAGGTTCTTATGAAGGCCTCAGCCTCTGTGCCCTGTTGTTGGCCTCCAGAGGAACTGGTTGGCCACTCTGTGAGACAGGATGCTGGACTAGATGGACCACTGGTCTGATCCAGCAGGGCTCTTCTGATGTTATCATGAAGGCCTCTGCCTCTATGCCCTGTTGTTGGCCCTCCAGAGAAACCGGTTGGCCAGTGTGTGAGACAGGATGCTGGACTAGATGGACCACTGGTCTGACCCAGCAGGGCTCTTCTGATGTTCTCATGAAGGCCTCTGCCTCTATGCCCTGTTGTTGGCCCTCCAGAGGAACTGGCTGGCCACTGTGTGAGACAGGATGCTGGACTAGATGGACCACTGGTCTGATCCAGCAGGGCTCTTCTGATGTTCTCATGAAGGCCTCTGCCTCTATGCCCTGTTGTTGGCCCTCCAGAGGAACTGGCCAGCCACTGTGTGAGACAGGATGCTGGACTAGATGGACCACTGGTCTGATCCAGCAGGACTCTTCCTTATGTTCTTATGAAGGCCTCAGCCTCTGTGCCCTGTTGTTGGCCCTCCAGAGGAACTGGTCAACCACTGTGTGAGACAGGATGCTGGAACTAGATGGACCTCTGGTCTGATCCCGCAGGGCTCTTCTGATATTCTTATGAAGGCCTCAGCCTCTCTGCCCTCTCGTTGGACCTCCAAAGGAACAGGTCAGCCACTGTGTGAGACAGGATGCTGGAACTAGATGGACCACTAGTCTGATCCAGCAAGGCTCTTCTGATGTTCCTATGAAGGCCTTGGCCTCTCTGCCCTGTTGTTGGCCCTCCAGAGGAACTGGTCAACCACTGTGTGAGACAGGATGCTGGAACTAGATGGACCACTAGTCTGATCCAGCAAGGCTCTTCTGATGTTCCTATGAAGGCCTTGGCCTCTCTGCCCTGTTGTTGGCCCTCCAGAGGAATTGGCTGGCCACTGTGGGAGACAGGATGCTGGACTAGACGGACCACTGGTCTAATGTTACGTTCACTGCTTAAGGGGGACGGCAGTGCCTTTGAGACAGCAGCCATCCTCAAATCAATCCCTCCCCTTAAAACTATTTGCATGCTTAGCCACTGACATACTTGAGGATAAGAAAGAGAGGGATAGGCTGTTAACTGTCCTGGAAAAGAAAGGTCCAGCAGGGAACTTGGGCTCACAGGACTAGCCATCTAGAAGTTCAGCTCCCGGCCTGGGAATGCATCCAAATGACACTGAAAGGTTCGGGGAAGCAGAGATTTCTCCAAGGCAAAGAGAAACTATTGGGTATCCTTTTCAGCACTGTCTCCAAGATGGGCTAGGCCTGGATTCATATCAGGCAGCAGGCAGACGGTCTCAAGGTACCCAGAGAAGGAGTTCACAGGCTTGGTCTTTTCGGCCACGATTCCATCTAGCAGGCTGGTGTTATCTGTAATAATAAAGCTACAACCTGGAAAGCTTTTGAGCTTCACAGAAATCCTGGCAGACGTGGAATGAGTACGGATCGGCAGCTCTGGTTTGGGGGATTCCTGGAGATTGGGGGGGCATAGCCTAAGAAGGATGGCATTTGGGGGGAGAGCTCCATGGGGACGTAACGCCGTAGAGCCTACCTGCCGACCAGTGTTCCCTCTAAGCTGAGCGAGTGTGAGCCAGCTCCCAGTTCTTTAGCCTCCGGCTCACACATTTTTGTCCTAGCTCAGGAAGGATGGCTCCGGAGCAAACTAATTTATGCAGTAGCCAAATCACCTGCTCACACCTTTAACGCCAGTAGCCCACAAAGTAGAATCTATGCTCACACAGCTCCACAGCTTAGAGGGAGCATTGCTCCCGACGGTATCATTTCCTCCATGGGAACCAATCTCTGTCATCCGGAGATCAGGTGTAGTTCTGGGGAGAACTCCGGCCCCACCCTGGAGGTTTGCCAAAGAACAATAAACTGTGCTCAACAAAAAACAAACAAACAAATCGATCATGGACAGATGTATCAAAATGTAATACAGAGTGCCCAGTCCAACACAATTCAAATACTGTGATGAAATTAGATATCGAAAGCCATGTTGTACATCCAAAAGAGACTGCTAAATTTTAAGAAATCCGTGACCATGGCCGATGTGTTACACACTCATACACCAGGACTCTTTAACAACATAGAATACCAGAGGTCATTTCGGGGGGGAACGCGGGGGAACCCAGTTCCCCTGGGTGAGGTACTGGGGGGCGGGGCACATGACGAAGCCCCGCCCCCTGCTTCCGGCCGCCCCGCTTCCGGCCCTCATTCAGCCAGGAGGAGGCAGGAGAAGAGGGAGGGTAAGTTGCTTCCTCCCTGCCTCTCCCCACCCCTGCCTGCCTGGGGCCAGGGAGGGCCTTCGCGGGGCTTCCTTGCACTCCCGCTGGCCTTGCAGGTCCACCGCCGGGCCCCTCATGGGGCTCGGCAGTGGAGCTGCAAGGCCGGTGGTGGCAGCCGGGACCGTTGGGGGCGGGGTGTGTGGCCTTATGACACATTTCCGGTGATGTCAGGGGGTGTGGCCTTATGACACACTTCCGGTGATGTCACGGGGTTTGGCATATGGTAATGAGTTATGCTAATGAGTTCCCCTAGCTCTTTTTCTATGAAATGACCCCTGTAGAATACAGTCTTCAAAATTTAAATAGTCCTAAAAAGTAGGGTTTAAGAATTTAAGGAGGGCTTAAGAATCCTCTGTTGTGAATTCTTAAGCTCTCCTTTTGGACTCTTTAAATTTTGAAGATCTGTGTTCTGTGTTATTAGAGTTTTGGTGTATTGGTGCATGAGTTGGTAAGAAATTGGCCATGGTCCCAGACTTCTTAAAATACCAGTGTCCGTTGATGCTTAGTGTGTTCACTTTGTTAAAGCATCGTGTTGTAGTTTGGATGTTTGTTGTTTGTTTATTTTGAAAATAATGAATTTTTTTTAAAAAAATTAAATAGCAGGGCTTTTTTGTAGAAAAAGTCCAGCAGGAACTCATTAGCATAATAGGCCACACCCCGAAGCAGAAACTCATTAGCATATTAGGCCACCCCCTGACTGCACCGCTCATTAGCATATTAAGCCGCATTCCCATGTTACCAGAAGTGTGGTCATCCAGCCACACCCACCTTTTGCTTCTTATTCTGTTTACCCTGTTTGTGGTCAAAACCCAGGGCTTTTTTTGTAGCAGGAACTCCTTTGCATGTTAGGCCACACACCCCTAATGTAGCCAATCCTAATGAGTTTCTGCTGTTGGGTGTGGCCTATTATGCTAATGAGTTCCTGCTGGGCGTGGCCAACTTGGGAGCCAGCCGGAACTCCGTTCCTGTGCGTTCCTGCCCAAAAATAGCCCTGAATATCAGTGTCTTTTGGATGTACGACATGGCTTTCTATATCTAATTTCATCACAGTATTTGAATTGTACCGGGGCTGTGCCCTGTATATGATCTTTTGATACATTTGCCTAGGATGGATTTGTATTTTTTGTTGAGCACCGTTTATTGTTCTTTGGCATGTTTCCCCTGTGCTACTCTTCGTTGTTGTTGTTTTAATTTCCCACCTGGAAGTTGGCAACCCGAGGAACGAGCCATTTCCCATGCCTGTTTTGGGGGGTTTTAATCTAGAGCCGAGCACAGGGCACGCCACCTTTAAACTGCTGAGCGGGTCCGTCTTGCTGGCTGTCTCCGTGGGGCTTGGAGAGCCGCCAAAGCTTTGATCTGCTGAGAAATCGGAGGGTTGGCAAAATACCTTGTTTTAATTTTTTTTTTACCTTTTCCCGTTTGTTTGTTTGTTCCAGTTCTCCCGAGCCAGACCCACCACAGCCCTCTGAAGCGGTCTGTGTCCCTTACCCCGCCCATGACCGTGCCCAGCCAGCCTTTGGGGCACGGGTGGATGTCTCACGAGGACTTGCGTGCCCGAGGATCCCAGGGCCTCCCTTCCGATCACGCGCCCCTGTCTCCTCAAAGCAGTGTAGCCTCTTCGGGAAGTGGTGGGAGTGAACACTTAGAAGATCAGACTTCTGCTCGTAACACATTCCAGGAAGAAGGGAGTGGCATGAAAGGTGAGTGGAACCCCATTCCCCAAAAACCCTAGATTTCCCTTTCTCGCTCGTTTAAACTGCACACACTCACTCGCGGGCACCCCGGAATCACCGGCCAGGACACCGTGCAAAAGCAGGAGGGTGCAGTTATGTATTCTGAATAAACTTGGACAGGGGTCCCCAACATGGTGCCTGTGGGCACGGTGGAGCCGACGGACAACTTTCTTATATAATCTTTTTCATATATTTTTTTTAATTTTGCATGTGTGCTTGCATGCCTGGAAGTCCTGGTGACTTCTTGCGGACCCTAGTGGGGTTTGGACATTTCAGAGAGTTGGCTTGCTGTTGCCTGCCTCTGCGTCCTGGCCCTGGTATTCCTTGGAGGTCTTCCATCCAAGTATTCACCACGGTCGGCCCTGCTTAGTTTCTGAGATCTGATGAGATCTGAGATCTGATGAGGATAGCCTAAGATAGAAAGATAGATAGATAGATAGCCATAGATGATAGATAGATAGATAGATAGATAGATAGATAGATAGATAGATAGATAGATAGCCATAGATGATAGATAGATAGATAGATAGATAGATAGATAGATAGATAGATAGATAGATAGATAGATAGCCATAGATGATAGATAGATAGATAGATAGATAGATAGATAGATAGATAGATAGATAGATAGATAGATAGATAGATAGATAGCCTAAGATAGATAGATAGATAGACAGACAGACAGACAGACAGACAACATTAATAAAATGCAGAAAGGAAAAAAGGGTTATCTAACTTAATTAAATATATAATAAATGATTATATATAACCAAATGTCCGACCGACGCTTTTCTCGATGCCCACCGAGTGTTTTTAGGAACTGAGCAGGTCAAGGTGGGGCTTCAACCCTGCAGGGCTTCTGGCTGGGCGTTGGAGATTTGATTGGCTGTGCAAATTTTTAAAGGAACGTTGCTTTGGCGGCAGCTGCCACTATATCACAAGAGTCTTCACTGTGTGGCTGAAGGTAAGCTGTGGCAGCCTCTGTATAGTTGGCTCCGCCTCCTGCAGCAGCCATTTAGTGGCAACCATTCTGTGGCTGCGCCCGCCATGCGGTCTCAGAATGCCAAAGGTACCCACAGGCTCAAAAAGGTTGGGGACCCCTGGACTAGGTTGCGCCCTCCACTCTGAGAGCCAGTTTGGTGTTGCGATTAGGAGCGCAGACTCTAATCTGGGAGAACCGGGTTCGATTCCCCACTCCTCCACGTGCAGCTTCTGGTGTGATGTTGGGTCAGTCACCAGTTCTCTCAGAGCTGTTCTGGAAAGAGCAGTCCTCGAAAGAGCTCTCTCAGCCCCACTTTCCTCACAGGGTGTCTGTTGTGGGGAGGGGGAGGGAAAGGAGATTGTAAGCCACTCTGAGATTCCTTCAAGTAGTGAAGGGCGGGGTATAAATCCAATCTCTTCCTCCTCCTTCTCCTCCTCCTCCTCTTCCTCCTCCTCCTCTTCTTCCTCTTCTTCTTCCTCTTCTTCTTCTTCTCCAGTAATGGTAGCACTCTCCTCTAGGCCAAGTCCTGTGTCCAAAGAAGGTGCCTCCGGTATCTAAGGAAAGCAGTAGGTCACAACCCATGATGCCTCATTCCTTCCATGAAAAGAAAACAAATCCACGGAGTGGAGATCCATCAGTGGCTGTTCCCTGTATAAGCTAAATGAAACCTCCATGTTCCAAGACAGTATACCTTGGAATTTAAATATACCGTGGCATCTCAAGCCAAAACGCTCTCAGGTCGGAGGTGCTGCGAAAGGAACCTTCTCTGCCTGAGTCCCTGGATAGGGTCTGCCAATGCAGGATGAACCAAGGGTCTAATTCCCTATCGAGCAGCTTCACACATTCAGAACTTGGGCCAGATGGCCCTTGGCTCCCGGTGGGGTAAATGAGATTTCCTGGCCAGCAGGTCTTGGCTTGTCTTGCGGCCGGATTTCGGCTCCCGTCGTGCAGAAGTTTGGTGCTGTGATTTTGTCCTCCTGCTCTGAGCCAGATGTATGCAGCTGTGGTTCGGAGTAACAAGCAGGTTTCCTTATTATCCTCCATGCGTTCTTCAGCCTGGGCTGGTCCAGGAGCCATGACAGGAAGAGTTCAGTCTGCTCCCGTCTGCTGGAAACAGGAGCGAGCGCGTTTGTCTCAGAGCCTTCTGCTGAGCGTTTTTATTGGTGCTTCTTTGGTGTGTCGTTGTTTAAAACGGTTTCCAGTAGCATTTAGGAAGCCCTGACCTGGCTGACCCAGGATGGCCCGGTCTTTTTAGCTTTCGGAAGCTAAGCAGTGTTGTCCCTGGCTCGTACTTGGATGCAGGGGTCATTTCCTGCAGGAGCGCACAGGAGCGGAGCTCCGGCAGTAAAGAGCCCAGGGGGCGGGCACATGCGACAAGCCCCACCCCCTGCTCCCAGCAGCCCTCTGTCAGAGCAAGAAGCAGCCAGGTAAGATGCAG